CTGTCAACCAAGGTGACACGGTGCCGATCGAGGGGCTGCAGGGACATAGGGTATTGAGGCAAGATGAATAAACTAGAAGTAAGTTGTATTTATGAAAGAAACTGAGTGGAGCCGTTGGTGCGGCGATGAGGGGCGCAAGAGCTCGGTTAGCAGCGACCCAGGTAGACCGGCGTGCCATTGACAGTCCACCTCCGTTGCCCTTCAAAGAAGAGGAAGAGCGCCTTCTCACAGTCAGTCACCCCGCTCCACTCAGCATTGTCAGCCTTGAGCTGCTCCAAGACCTTTACATGAAGTCCTTCCCTCCCAAAGAAGTCATTGTGCATGATGAGCTTCATAATAGAAGGGTTGGTGGTCTTCACCAACGCCGTAGTGTAAGGATCCTCAACGTTGCACTTGAGAAGGCCCACTGCCCAACAATCTGTGTAAGTGGTGGAACAGACTGCATGATGTCAGCAACTAAATGATGATGTAGTTAAAGATGTACTGATTGTGTGGTCATGCCATGGTGGGCACTGTTCATTGGTGCATCGCCTGTGGATGTTGCAATGGTGTCACCATCATTGTTCATCATCATGAAGGTCTTGTCATCATTGATGGAAGGTGGTATGTACCAATGGAGTAAGGCTTGCATTGACCCAAGCCTGTGCCTCCTCAGAGAGCAGGGAACTGCCATGCAGCTCTCACAGCTCAGCAACACCAGCAGCTTCAATGGTCCTGCATTCATTGGGAAATAAAAATAACATTTCCCTTTAATATAAACACGTTCATCGCATTCCTTGACATTTTTATTCTTTTCTTTTTTTCTTTACTTCAAATTTTCAGTTCATTTCTTCACTCATTTATTTTGTACGGTTCCGTAGAATGCGCAAGGAAACGGGCCGATTTCTTTCTCATTTCCGCCCGTTTCCTTGCACATTCTACAGAAGCAGTAGCTCTGGATTTCAGCCAACACACAGCTGACATTTCGTTGATGGAATGCATTCCCACCTTTATGCCACATTTATCCCGGTTTTTTCCAGGATGCAAAGTGCTTAAAAAACGCAGCAAGCAATTCAGCATTCTTTTCAGAGTGCTCCCCACAGGGGCAGCACCTAGGACAGGTGTGGGAACCCCCTTTTTGATCAAGGGGGGGCAATCATGTGCCTAATGTCCATTATTTTTTCATTAATTTGTGCAGAATTGCACAAGTACAAGTGATGATGTCACAGAACAGTCAATCCCCCCAAGATCAAAGGTTCCCCTCTCATTTGAACACTTTCTAGTGTAATTTTGTTAATTTACAGATTGCATCAACCAAGCAAGACATACACTCCCCCCCCAAATGTTGATGATGTTAATTTTAATGTCCAAAAATGTTGTGCAGATGCATCAATGTAGGATGGTACAACATCAAGAAGCAAACAAGGCATGGATTGAAAGGCGCCAAGAAGCACCTCCACTTACAACCAATGATGTATGTTCCTTCCAAGTTG